CTCCAACCTAAGAGCGATGGCCTTCAACCTAAGAGCGATGGCCTTCAACCTAAGAGCGATGGCCTTCAACCTAAGAGCGATGGCCTTCAGCCTAAGAGCGATGGCCTCCAACCTAAGAGCTATATAATTCTTTCATATATCATTTCTTTTGATTTGTTTGGGTCTGAACCCACGATCATCTCCTCGGGTCTCACAAGCGACACCATGATTGAAACCGAAGTCCTGAGGGCGATGCTTCGACAAACAAAGTAGAGCAGGGCTGAATCTTTGTCGACCGGGTTTGGTGCAAATCTTGGCACCGTTGAATTTGCAGCACTGGGGAATGAACGGGAATGAGATTTGGACTCCTTCCCTCCTTTGACTCCTTCCCTCCTTCGCCGTGGTTTTCGCCATGGCGCTCGAGGCGGAACAGCGGCTTGGGCTGGTCCAAGTGTCGTTCGAGGCAGTGAAGCAGGGAGCGACCGCCTAAGGCCTCGCACCCCGCGGTGCCCGGTGCAGTGCCCAGTGGCACTCCGAACTCCCTCAGCTAACATTGGATGTGGGAAGCATAGACGATGAAGCCCACCTTTTTTCATAGATCTGAAGGTGCCATAGATGATGAAGCCATCTCTTCTTTATCATCTTTATCCTGTTCTTTATCTGTTCTTTTGTGCTTGGGTTTTCATACAAACTGGGATGCTATGAGGTCGGATACGGATTTGATGGTCACCAATCCAAGATCTGAGCAAGGGAAAACACCCTCAGGGTCGGTTGAAGGCTGTCAAATCAGCTTGGAAATTCCGTTTCTGTCGTTTCACCGTACACATACTTGTAAAATAGGTCTGCTCTTTTTCGGATGATTTGTGAAGTTTCATGATGCTCCATGCTTGGATCAAATTCTATGAATGGTTGCAGGGTTGCATAGAGATTGCATTTGCTAAAAAAGGGATGCTTCATTCCCAGGATGCTAAGAAGGTACACAAGCAATATGATCATCATGTCCGATGCAGAGAGGCATACATTGACAAAGACATTTGGCCATCCGGGCTGGGCCGGGCTTCTATGAAAACAGGGAGACCTCCCAGCTCAATGGGTTTAGGTATCTTTAGGTGTGTTGTGTATTGTTTACATTTGCAGGGGGGCCAGGAATTCTTGGCCTTTCACTCTCAATACGCACCCAATTCACTTTTCGACCTCCGGTTGGATCATCCTACAGCTCCCCTACCTGAGTCAATTTGAAGGTCGACTCTCTCAGTTTCCCTGAACTGTTTCCCATCTGCTCTTGTTTCGTCCTCAAAAATCCCCACCAAGGGCTTCTCCATGCTTCTCCACATTCTTCCTGGGTAAGAAGAGCGATGGCGCATACCGTCGCAACAGCGCGTACGCGACCTGCAACGGCATCGACGGATTGGCGCCCGACATCGCTCGGCCCGACCGCCTCTTGAACTTGAGGATCGCGACCCAGGCGAACCAATGGCACCTCACTTCGGGGGAACCCGACTTCGGACTTCGGACGTGGACACCGGACAAACCACGGTTCCGTCGGAGGTCCATTGAATGGGTCAAGTACATGCTGTGCAGAAGGCGTCATGGCTGCGACTGAGGTGGTCCCTCGTTCGCTCCTTGCACCTGTTCAGGGAACACAGAGAACACCTCGAAAAGGGTCACTCTGGGCGCGAACCAGAAACCAACAGATTGAGTATAGGTCCTCGTCTTTGTGAAGAACATGTCATGTATATGCGTGTATGCGTGTGCGTAATTACTTAAATAGGGACACTGCCCAAAGACCCCCTGAAGGGAGGAAGATAGGCCAGTCTATACCCATTGGTTCGGTGTCTCCCTCTCAAAGAACACACACCCATGTGAGCAACTCTTCAATCAAACCACCTTCTGGCTCCCTGTCTTTTGCATCATTTGCTGGATCTTCAGCAGCAGCAAGTCGATGAAGCTTGTGTCTTCGTCCAGCACATCTGCACGGCGCAGTGAAAAGCTGGGCTGGGAGTGCAGTTACTCCAGATACAAATTGACACAAATCGAAGCGATCAAATCCGTTAAGCAGTTTCAGTGTGGCAGCCCCGATCTATGTTTGAGGTACACGTCATTACACCTCCGAGCCCTGCCCCAAAAGGAATGGTCCTTGACCTGGAACAAGGGTTCGTCTTCTACATTTCAGTTGCGAGGCCACTTCCCGCGCCACCAGCCCCAACCTTGTGGGAGGAGGAGCACTTGGAACTGACATGAGCAGCAGTCACCATTGGCACAAGGTGTGGAATCCTGTCCTTGGCTCGGCTGCTCCAACGTAGCAAGAGAGTCTAAGTTATAGCCTAAGGCTTAGCTTCCCCAAGCTCGACATAGAAAAACCTCGAAAACAATGGCCGCGCTGCGGCCTCCATGCTCCAACTGAAACTTCCCAGGCCGATCACGGAGAAACTGCAAAAGATATGCAGCATAGGTTCTGGCATGTGCAGACACAGGGCACCCTCGCGGCATCTCACTTTCGACTCCATTCACTGGACTCCCATTCATCCTTTCGACTTGGATGAGCTCCGGCACCGGGAGAAAACGCACCACCGCCCCAATCCTCCGCCGCAGCTTCCCGTTGTGCAGCAGGTATCGCACCTGCGTGTGTTGTTCCGGCCTTTTGGCTCGCAGTGTGTTCTGCAAGTCCCGCTCCAACGCCCGCAGCGCATGCACGCCTCGTTCCGGCGCGCCCTGGCCACCCAAAGCACCACTGGGCGCCCGACCCAGCCCGACCGTCGGTGGCCCAAGCTGAAGGTCCACCACTTCAAGGGCATGGCCGCCAGAGCGTTCATGGATTTGCACGAGGTGTGGGAAGGCTTGGAGGAATTGCAAGAGCTTCTCATCGCCCATGCGCTTTCGGAGGTCTGGGCGTCCATAGAAGAGGTGATTGGCCATCAATCGGCCGCCATGACGCTGTAGCTCGGAGACAATCTCCAGAGCCAAAGCTGAAGAGCCATGGACCGTTGGTGGCATGGCATCTCTACAGAACTGGTCACAGAAGAACAGGTGCAGTGCAGTGCGTGGAGGTTTGTTGTGATTGGTGAAGGTTTCCTGCTCTGTGCGGTACACCACATGCTGAATGCAAACTACCAATTGCTTGAATCTTCGCACTGGTATTGGTGGAATGAGCGACTGTTGTTCCAAAGTGGATGAAGGCGATCTTGCCAGAATGAATCTCCTCCATAGCAATGTCACTTTGAGCTTCATGGCCAGCTGCTAACTGGACAACTACTTCGACCAGCGACACCACTCTCTCGTGCCCGGAATCCGAGCGGCTCCCAACACTGAGCCGCCTCTGGCTCGTTCTGCACTGAGACCTTGGGAACGTCTCAGAACGTCTAGCTGCTACGAACAGGCACCGAACACATCCCCTGTCAACTGCACCACAAGATTGGTTTGCTTGGGCAGGCCAATCAAAGGATAAATCGTTTTGAGCCAGGTGGCACCCCAAATGGGAACTCCAGCCAAGGACATCTCCTGCCACAATGAAACGTTGAAGGAGTTATGCATAATATATATACATGTAATAGTATATACATAAGTTGTGAATCTAAAGACTGCGCTGCGGATCCAACGCGACTTGCCAAGACTTTGCAATCCCTTGTGCTACTCTAGTTCTTTCATGTCCTTTCATCTTCCTTCGAAATCACCATGACACGGAAGTGTTCGTCCGGGCCCCGTAAACTGAGCCTTCACGAAGCGCACAAAGTGCTTCGCCCAAGCATCCCGGCCTCGGTGCGATCAGTTGAACGACAGCTGCTTACAGTCGAAAAGGGACCTTTAGTGGCAATGAGTTGAACCTTTAAAGGTGATTGATGGCCAATGGCATGCCATGGCATGCCCTAGGTCAAGCACCTGTCATGGATCTTGGGCCTTGCGGACATAGTCTTGTGAAACCGATGGACATCGTGCAAGCAGGCGGGCGTCCCATGATGTTCCGTTGTGCAAACCTTGTGGCAAAGAAATTGCCCTTTATGGCACACAAAAACCATGCCCAAGTTGTGTAGTTGTGCCCAGTTACAGTCAGTATAGCCGGATGTCAGCTACATTTACAGGTTTAAAGTTTTGCATGCTCAGTCTTCACGTATACTTTTCTTTTCAATATACTTCTCTTCTCACCGCCGCAAATCATCGTTACAGTACCACCTGATGACTCGATCGCCCTTCGCTTTGGAACCCCGAAGTCAGGTCTTCGCTCGCTGAGCCGAAGGCCGAAGGCCAGGTCTTCGCTTGGGGTTCCCCGCAGTCAGACCGCAAGTGACCTGCCATTTGGAAGGTCTATGCTCCTATGCCCACCAAACCTGGTCGGAATTGTCCGGCCCTGGCAGAACAGGTCATTACTCCAACATCTTTGTTTGAGGCTTGAGGGGGTGCCTTCCATGAGGTGTCCGGTTCCGATCTGCACTTCTGTACTTGTCGCTTCGCCGCTTCGCCTTCGCCGTTGAAGCTCTTCACGGTCTTCATCCAGGAAGGGGGGCTCCAGGGGCTTGCCTTGTGGTGATCGTTGTCCAAAACAAGAGCCGTCTGTCCATGGTCTGTCCATGGTCCAGCCACGAAGATGATGTTTGAGGGGTTACCCTAGGGTGCCTCCCCGCGCGACCGTATTGGCCAAACTAACAAATGTCTGGTTTGGCAAATCACGAAGGCGAATGCCCTGATCTGTTGATCCAACGCGAGCAAGCGCCTGCTGATTCGATACCCAGTGACAAGGTCACCACGGGAAAAATACGGGAGGCGACCGAGTTCCTTAAAAGACAACTTCGACCCAATAGGAGCACGGCAGGCTGCGAAGGTGTTTCCCCTTTGCTTCTGTCAGATATTGGTCGAACATGGTCGAACAAGACCAGAGAACCACACGTTCCAGCCGGCCGCCTCATGTTTGAGTTGTGCTTCTTGAGACCGTCAGAAGGTCTTTGATCCCAGAGACTCCATGTCTATACATTGAACTTAAGTATGTGCTGAATCCACTGGTTTCCAACCAAATCGAAATGAATTTTCACCCCAGATTCCCAACTTAAGAAAGCACGCAATTCTTACCGAGATCCAGTAATTCCACAAGTTGCACAGGCAGAACACTCAAAAACCATTTCCAACAAAAACTAGAACTTGTAGAAGCCTCTAGTTTTGCTACAAAGCGGGAGAGCTGGTGTAAGCAACCCGAGGAGCAGAAAGAATTCTTCCATCAAGTTGATGCAAGAAGTCCTGCATCACCTGGAACCTCGAAACATGTATTATATACTTGGGCGAATCCGCATGGATGCGCATGCAAGGTAGCGTATACAAGCCTTGCATTGAAACACTTTGCAAACAACGCAACATCGGAGCAAGGCCCGCCAAATGCACTGGAGCGAGGCACGAGCACTTTGAGGTTCACATGCTTTTGGGCTGCTTGCAGCATCGGGAGGATCGCTTCCTACGAGATGACAAGAGGAAATCCACAAGAGGCATCCCTCCAAAATCCACAAGAGGGTGGTCTTACAGTCGAAGGACCTTTTGGAAGTGTGGCAAACATGGGTTTCCTCAAGAGGGAGCCAAGTGGTCAGGGCGCGAGGGCGCGACGCTTCGCTCAGCGGCTTGCCCGCGGCTTGCCGCGACGCTTCGGCTCCTCGTAGCGTTCTAGGCTGAAGCCCTTCAAGTCCATATCTCCTTTCAACATCCGACGGCTCGGTGGTGTTCCATCAAGCCTCATGCACCAACTCAACCATCAGCTTCTAGACTCCACTTCAATTATGAGCTTCTGGACATTTGGTGGGCAACCTATTGGCCAAAAGCCAAGCTTGAACTTCTCTCCAGATGAGGGTAAGGCATTGCATTTTCATACCCCACAACTGGCGCCACGAGTGGCGCAGCTCCTTCAGAGATGTCTCCACAGGTCCAGTTCTCCAGGGAAGAGTCACAAGATCCAATCGGCACACGTCCTGGTGACAGGGTGATTTCTGGCGAAGGCTCCGAGAAAAACATCTGCAGTCTTACATTCATGTGATTTGTCTGCAGGAAAAAACCTTCTCCCAACATATTGATTTGTAAAAAACAGTTCTCAAGCTGACAGAAACCAGGAAACACTTGACGTTTTTTTTCTCGATATCGGTCCATTATTTCCTTTGCTCGGAGAAAACAAACACATGACCTATTTCTCCTCCATTTTTTGTGTTAGCCTTAGAATGGTTTTGAGCGAAAGAAACGACATACGCAACACATACCGAGTCGTTTCGTCTGCGTACCAACTCTCGGCACACGGGACTCGGTCCCAGGTTGAAGCCCAGCCCACTGCTTGGATGAAAATAAGCCGTGATGATCTCCTGCCGTCGGCCTTGTCGCGACGGACAACCATGGGATCTGTACCGCGCGTCGATATACGCCGTTGAAAGAGCGGATCAGAGGTCAATCTTGTCCGAGTCTTTTTGGGGTTCTTTTGCAGAGGGGTCTCTTTGGAAGAAGGCTCTGCAAAGTCAGCTTCCGCAAAGATCAGTTCTCCCCAAGTCAAAAATTTGTTTGAAACAGTCTGACTCTCGATTTTCGGCAATCGAGATCAAACGTTGCTGCGTCTAGTATGTTAAACGAGCACTTCCCAGTTTCAATAAATCTATAACCTTGCCCTCGCAAAAAGAAACAACTGAAGAACAATGATATATATATATTATATATATATGTATACTGCTTGCCCTCGGAACAACAACAACGACGACGACGACGACGACGACAACAACAAACACAACCACAACCACAACCGCAACCGCAACCGCAAACGCAAACGCAAACTGAAGAACAACACCTGGTGCCGATCTTGTTCACTCCATCCCGGCCGGCGACAGCGACCAGATCCGAGAGGCGCTCGGTGAGCTTCCTCCAGGTGACCGCCGAGGCCTCGGAGGCGCGGCGGATGGAGTGGGATGACTCCCAAGAACTCTAAGTCCTTCCAAAGCACCACAGTGTGTCGGTGCTGCCATAGATAAACCTATTAGCCTAGAAAGGGTATGAAGACGGAGACTTAAACATCTTGAACTCTTGAACCTTTTTAATTACCATCCGACCTGGGTGGATCACACTCCGCACACTCCACTGCTTGGAGTCACTCTCAAGTACTGAAAAGACTAGAGATGTGACCCGCAGGGATGGTGGGGCCATGGTCGCTGGGGCGGATGAATAAGTTTCGCTCCTTGGATCGACAGAAGGTCTGACCACAGGGAAGGTGCCATTCGGTGCCCAAGCTTGATCAAAGAACCTGAATGTTTCTAAAAGCTTCTTGTTACTACTAGTAGGGCACCTGTTACTACTAGCGTGGCACCTGTTACTACTAGCGATGCACTTGTTTCCGTGAGACCATCGTCCGGCAAAGTGAAAGCACAAAAGGACTCATTATGAGCTGATGGCAGCCCAGTCCTCAGCGACCCAAACGAGAGCAAACGCCCACAAACCAGAAACCTGCAGCAAACGTTCCCTTTGGTTTTGGAGTTTATTTTTGTTTTCTGGGGAAGACTCCCCAATTACAACACGAATCTGATGGATCGAATCTATACCATTGATAAAGCCACATCAGCATGGTCATCAAACCTGCAGCGATGAACCGGAAGGGCTCCCCAGTTGCCCTGAACCGGTTTCAAGCATTTCAACTGAGAAACGCCAGTTGAAAGGCCCCATGACTTGGGGAATGGATTCTGCCCTTTTGGGACGAAACACCCAACAGCTCGCTCGCTCGCTCGCTCGAACGTGGCAAGTTTGGCGGGCCTCAGTGAAGGAGCCACCCACACCAAGCCATTCATGCCCCAATGCTACACCTGAAGCAAACTAGGAGCGATCGGACGCTACGAACGGGGCTCCTGGCCGTATACTACTAGGAACGGAACACGGACGCCACCAGACTGTCGAGTCCAGCGGAGTTTCCGATCCACCAGACTCAGACTGGACTCCGTGAACCGAAGCCGCGTTGCGGCGAACGGCCAGCACTGGCGGCGAATTCGTTGAAGCCATTCCCGATCTACATTTATCTACACGACCTAAAGTGCATGCCCCCATTGTTCGGAGGGAATTCTTTCAAACGATTATATAGATGGGTGGCCTTATTTCTGATAAGCACTGAACGGAAATATGGTCAATCCTTCATAGGAGACCCTTTCTTCCACGAGAAAACCGACAACCCATCTCCTTAAAGCAGTAAAAATCGCAAAAGCACCTGTTTATAGTGGGACCCCTCTGGTTGCCTAGAACAGGCGACAAAAGCCAGGCTTCCCGCATTTCCAAGTTTTGCCGCCTCACTAGAATGATTCGAACGCTCGTTCAGGGCTCAAGGGTTTGTTCCCTGCTGAGCCTGTCGCAAGCAACTTGTGAACAAAACCCTGCCTTATGGAACCATGCCAATGTTGGTATGTGAGCGCCATTGAATCAACGCGACGCGAGTTAAAGCGAGCGAGTTAGGACGTCACGGGGAGTTTCGAGATGTCCATCCAGTGAGTGTTCGGTGGGAAACTTCTGCACGACGTGCGGAAGTAGCCCAGGGCCAATTCGGCTGTTCACCAGCGAATGGACCTCTCACGTGACGTCTTCTCGCCTCCGGTAAACACACTGAACGGCATAGATATTGGTGCTGAACGTTGGCTTGAACTCCAGAAGCATCAACTAGCCTGAACAAACGTCATTAAGCACCACTGAAGTATACTGAAATCAAACTGACTGCCACTCCTTGGCACTACTGCGACTCGTTAGCGCTGAAGTCTTGTGTTTGCAGGTGCATGGCCTTACTTCAACTGCAGGAGGGGTGACTGATTTCACTTCAGTACAACTCCGCCAAGCACGCCATTTCCTCTACTCAGAACGTCCTCACACTCTCCATGCTGACAAACCCAATCAACCACGCAGCTTGCAGTTCAATAGATTTCACATCGATGCCCATTGCATGAGGGTTCTACGTACCGTGCCCGCTTGCCTTAAAGCCACCGTGCCACCGTGCTCCTTCCTCTCGTCCCACTGATGGAATACCAAACAATCGGACTGGAAGTTCTTGATCTGCATTTGGGATCATTTGTGTGGTTTTTTTTTCGGTTTAAACTAGTTCATCATAGTTCATAGTGATGTTCTAAGGGAAAATGAGAACACTTCCAGCCCCTTTCTCCATGCCTTAAGGGAATTTCTCCTCTTTCTTGAGACCACCAGACAGGTCCGCACCGTTCGGGGCAGTGGTCAATAGAAAACGCCACTATGGTGGATGGATGATGTGGCAAATGCCGGGAAAGGAACAAGATGTATTTAAACAGGATTGGTGACCTGCTTCCTGAAAACACGCCCACATGCCAAGCAAATTTGCGTGAAAGCAACAGCCCCAGTAACGGCCTGTATGCACAAAGATGCAAGATGATTGGGCACCACCAGACGCATCCTGAGGTCCAAGCGCACCAGTTCCAAGTCTGCTTTTTGCACAATTCTTAAGCCTTGGCTAGTAGCTGTCCTTCAATGCAACTCATTACAACAAAAAACTGGATGAAGTATTGTGGTGCAGCATCTGGTCTCCTGAGATGACTCTTCCAGCCAACCAGCCAAGACATGGAACATGTGTAGCAAAGTGGCGTGTCACCGTGTCACCTTTGTAACTCAAAACCCCGAGTGCTTGTGATGATGGTTCTCGTGTGGCTGTTTGTGTTGCTGTGGTCGTTGGTGGAGGGTTCCAAGGGAAAAAACAATTTGCTGGTGCGGAGTCCTGGAACAGGTGAATCTGGGCATCGCTAATAGGAACAAAACAGGTGGGTGCTTCATGCTACCACATCCTTTGTGGTCGCTGCATCTTTGGGTTTGAACCATCAGCTTACAAAACCCACTTGATTCAGATGATTTTCCTCAAGCCCAGGACTGAACCAAAGGTAGACCCCACACGGATGCCGTGTTCACTTCCAAGTCTCTTCGCCCATGGCCATGCTGGGGTAGACTCTCATGCGATCGCCGCTGGCTGCACTGCGAACTGGAGTGACCAACTTCCTCAGAGGTACTGAAATCGCATATGTATGATGTAGGCCACTATTATTCAGGTCTACTGAAACCTTGCCTGACCTAGTTGGCTTGGTGGAACAACGGTGGAACATGACAACATCTGAGGTAAACCGATCACAAACTAGCAGCCTTGGTACTTGCTGCATGGTGCTGGGACACAAGTGAGCAAGTGTCCATTTTCATTGCGTCGAAGGCTTCTACAGTGAGCTTCTTTGAACTTTCCCAGACAGCCTCTGGTGGGACATCTCATCTTCCACGGTGACGAAAGCCTGGTCAACCAGTCAACCAGTGACTGGCCGTGGCCACGGTGACGAAGCAAAGATCTGAGATTCAAAGACCGTGAGAAACCTTTCGTTTCACAACGCCCCGGTCTACCGCCTACCTCACGGTCTACCCTACCGGCGACTCAAACGGCGACTCCGATCAGCTGAGCGTCGGCGTTTGCGCCACCGACTCAAACGAAGAGGCGGTCCGTGCCGTAGGACCGCGGCGGCGCAGGCGAAGCAAGCGAAGACGCAGGACCGGCCCTGGCTAACCCAAGGCCAACTGAGCAGAGGTGGTGGTGCTAACACCCTTGTGAAGAAAGATTTATACATAATTCATACACCTTGTACTATTTTGTATTTTGTATAAACCCTTTCATAATGTCATATCATATTAATGAACCACTGGACACAGCACTACGAACATGACTTGTAGCATAGGCATAGAAGTCAGCGAGCTAGCAGCTAGCAGTTTTAGCCGATTCCACTATATCCATACTGTCTCTCCTCAATCGAATATGGCGGGATTCGATGTTGGAGTGTGGATGGGTGGAGGGGACAAAATGGACCCAACGTCGACCGTTTCGTGCAGCTGGCTACCCGAAATCACAGCTATCTAAATCCAAACACCCCATACAATATACGCCATACATGCCTACATTGACTCCCCAAACCAACCAAATTGATTGGTAACTATGGCAAGCCAGGCTTGGTCCTCCACCCAGTCAAAAACTGGGCATTCTCACCTGGACCCCCAAACAACCAAACTGAAACAGCTGTGCCATTTTGGCCGTTCAGGTTTCTTACATGCAAAGTTCTTATTCAAGGGAGCAATCATGCCCGGGACTGGGATTCCAAGCAAGCTTCTGCATGCTTCAAGCAAACTTTGTTGCAAGGAAGTGTTTTTCATCAACTGAGGTCAAATGAGAATGATTTGTTCGGGTCAACACATGCGACACGCGTCTGCGCGGATGTGCCTTGGCCCAAGGAAGCTGCAGTCAGCCACCGGGTCCCACCCAAACACTGCCCCGGCTCAGCGCGCCGGGTCCTGCGCGTGAAACCAACGGCCAGCGCACGAAAACGTCCGACGCCCGGCGTTTTGGCGGTTGAAAAATGGTTGAAAGAGGTCGTCGGTCGAATCGAGTGGAGCGCATTTCTCAGCAGGAGTGGCGAATGGACACTCCTTAACCTCGCCCAAGGGGCTATCAAATAGACACCCGGGCCTCATATAATGTGGGTGATCCAATCTCACAGAAAATGATGTCACAGTTCATCAGTTCCACGAAGAGCAGCTCTACTATGACAAGAGGGACCTTTTATGCCCGCCAGTCACACCACAAAGGATGCTCTGTTCCAGCTACTTTCGGCACCTGACAGCGGTGAGAGGCGACCATGCGGATGGAAGCCGCCCGAGTGGAGCATGAAGCGCCATGAGCGGTACATGCGAAGGCTGACGACGTGTTGATGGAGTTGAGTGGTACTGTGAGCTAATTTATACTTGCCTCCAGCCTAGGGCCTAGGTAAACCTCCTTTCGCACACACACAGACACGCATGCGTACACCAAACAAACACATACTGTACACCGATTCTTAAGAAGCTGAATAGTGGGAGCTGTACATCACGTTGTTTGCATGGTTGGTTGAATCAGCGGAGTTGCAATCCAGCCGCTGTCAAAGGCCCGAGTAGTTGGTTACCCTGTTGCATCCCTCCATCAGCAAGAAACCATCCGAGTGTCTTCGTTGGTAGCAAAGGCTGTCTGCCACCTGCCTGTTGATTATATCGATATATTATGTAGTCTTGGTAATATTATGCAATATTTTGCAATATTTAATTCATAGATATTGTACAACGAAATGTCGGTGCGCTGTCTAGTTCCCTCAACGTTCACACAAAGAAAGCATCGCCCACGTAGCGTTCCGCGTTCACATAAACATGTTGACGCCGTGAATACTTCCACAAAGACCCTCGACCATATGACATGGCAGGTCACAGAGGGTTTTGCAACATGATGCTTGTTGATGGGGGATGCAAGTGATGATATATCCGAGGTGGTAAAGACATGTAAAGACAATAACACCGCCTCAGAAGGATCAATTCATCGCCAGAAATTACGAAGTGCCAAGGAACAAGCATGGCGAAGCTGGTGAGCATGAAACGGCTGTGTTTGTTTCTCTTGTTGGGTTACTGTGTAAAATATTGTAGTGTAATGTAAGATCCTTAGTAAACCAATGGTTCTTGGGCAAAGAGCCTGAAATCAATGGTGGTCCAAATCCTAATTTACATCATCATCATCATATCTCCAACATCTCCAGGTTGGATTGCCACCTCGGGTCGGGCCCAAAAAGAGAGATGGACAAAGGTCCTTACACCCGACCTGGTGAAGGTTTGTGGACAAAGGTCCTTACACCCGTGACGAGCAGTCGGGTCCACAAAGTGGGTAGGTCCATATAGTTTTGGTTGACGACCAGTGTTTTCATCAGTGTCTGAAGTTGAAAGTCCAACTAACACTTGATGAACAAGCCGAAATGTTCCATCCCAAACGGCAAAAAAAAAGAGGCTGGTCGCTAAAGCAATCTGCATTACAAAGTGTGAACATGGATATTTTGCAAGTAAAATGATCATTGGACAACATAACTTCGGCCAAGAAACCACAAGTTCTCCTCATTCAATGTGAGGACACATTCTGACTCCCTCAAATTCCCTGAACAAACAAACACATCTGGAAAATAGAGGGAGGTACACTTTTTTCAGGTGGGGAACGCCAGGTTCCTGTTTAGTGGGGAAGGCAAGGCCCCAAAAAGGTGATCGACGTACTTCTGGTAGGCATTCAGGATATCAAGTTCAGCAGGACATGCCGAGGGTTCCACCGGGGCACACAGGGCCCATGGGGACGCGACGTCCGTGGTGACCTTTGAAACAAACATGCAGAGTGACCGGAGGTACTGGGAATCTCCGGGCGTTTGGTCCACGTGTTTTCAGGAAAAAAACAAAGAATTTCCCGGTACCGTACCCGTGATACCGAAGAAATTCCCGTCACAACTATGGTTGTGCGGTCCCGTTCCACCCTCTTTTGGTCTCCGTCGATCTATTCGCGTCAAACCGAAGCAGCTGCAGAATTCGTGAGTCACTGGTCGTGGAGCCGATTCTGAGGCAACGGACCTCGCCACTAGGAACGCAGCTGAGGCAACGGACCTCCCCAACAAACAAGAGCATCCGAGAAAACAAGAGAAAGAACGGTCTCCATACATTTGAACCAAACGGTCTGTGCCCTGCTGGGATGGAGTGGCAATTGTCCTTTCGAGAAACGGAGTCTCTTTCCGATGCTGAAGGATGATGAAGGGATTCCTGGATGCAGACAAATAGTATTGTATAAAAACAAACATTTTTGAACCGTGCAAGAATGATGATGATGACGATGACGATGATGATGATGATGATGATGATGATGATGATGATGATTAAGGAACTCTAAATATATAGTTAGAAAAGCTTTGCTGCCTGTTCGGAATGAGATAGAAAACCTCTTCAGGTTGAGTCCAGTCTGTTCAAATCACAGCCCATCTGCCACTGAAAGCTGCCTTTCTCAGAAATGGACCGCCAGCCTCACAAAAAAATAGAGTGAAACTGCAAAGCAGCGCCAACGTGCAAAGCTCTTCCGCAGTATCAAAGGGCAGGTGCAAGGGGCCTCTAAGAGAAAGAACACATATAATTATAGTATAGTAATCAATGGATTGTTGTTGCGAAGAAATTTCAGTTACAACAGTATCTTGAGGCTTAGTGACCGTGTTGCACATGAAATGCTTCAGAATAGTCTTAAGACACGTTGTGTGTTTGCAGGTAAGCATGTGTGTCGAGGAGTGCATGATGGTCATGCCATGTTTGCTTTCATGGAAGCGTAGTTCCACTGGGTAAAGGAACTGTCGATTCCGAAGCGCATGGTGCGGTGGAAGCACTCCAGAAAGGACATCTAGACTTAAAATAGAGGTTTCTTCAGAAAGTATCTACTCACAGACTGATAGATGTCAAGGTGTTCTAGTGACACATTCTTTCTGAGTCAAGTTGGCGGAAATTAAACCTCCACCCAGTTGTATAGCGCTTTGTGTCTTTCAAACCTGGAGCGACAACACGCCTAGGGTCTTGAGCGATAAGTATGTCTGCCCAAAGCCCTAAAGCTGTCGGAAGCTTCCCGCAGGTGTGCAGGTCTGGAAAAACATGGAAAAACATGGAAAGAACTGGACCGCTTAAGGTCTTGTTTTGCACAGCAGCCAGAAACAAAATGGACGTTGTGCCACATAGATTCTTGACCTTGGAAGATGGTTTGACCTTGTAAGATCATGGTCCAGATTGGCGAACTGGGAGGTATCGCAGGCTGGAGGAGCACTCACTGGAGGCTTCAAAACACGAGGCTCCACAGCTTACGCGTGACACGAATGGATGCGTGTCCGGACGCGTACGTTCGGTGATCTGACTTCGGTCGACTCCATGGTTGGCCCTTCTGAAGATTGAACATGACAGATCGTGACCCTACCTGGAGAAGTTGAACAGCCCCATAGCCTATGGCCTATCCCATATGGCTGTGGGTCAAAACGGTACCGCTTAGTTCGTCAACGTTCCAGTTCCACAACACGCGTCCGTCATCCGACTTCGACGACGAGTCGGGAGAATATCTCCCTTCATCCGGCATGTGAAAAGGCTTCCTCCGGTCCTGGCGCTGAAAAAGAGGGCCAGGGCCACTGGCCCCACTGCTGAAATGTGGTGAGTCTGCTGATTTTTTCCCCTGAACCTGGTGAGGTTGCTATACGTTTCAGCTATTGAAAAAGAGGGTGGCCGCCCTCATCGAACGTGTATCCCACACCAACATCATGACCACATCACATCTACATCGCAAACATGTTGCTCGTTTGGGCCCTGCCTGTCGTCAAACTTTCAATTGCTTCTTCTCTTTGCCTGACAGACAACCAAGCACGAAAACTCCGATAAATGGAAAGCAGGCCCCTCTGGGATGTGAGTCAAGCTGGCTTCTGAGAATAGGTAGTGGTAGTAGTAGTAGTAGTGGTAGTAGTAGTAGTAGTAGCAGTAGTACTAGTACTAGTGGTTTGCTTTGGAATAGGTTGCGCACATCCCCACTCATGCTAGGCTTCAGTTCAACCTTGCCGGCCTACGCCCGCAACTTGGAGGAGAGCGTTCAGCTTGGAATCCAGATTCTTTAAGTCAGCGCCTTGGAACCCAGACCTGGCCGCCTGGCCTGTCCATCCGAACCCGCTGATGGCTGGGCAATCATTCTTGCGTGTGTTGGCGGGACATTTTCCATCTTTTCCCTCCCCCGAAGGCGTCTGTGTTGGCTTCGCTTTTCATTGTTTGGACCAAAGAACCGTCAAACCCTGGTTTGAGGAGTTCCCTTTTTGAATCGTTGCAAGGAACTGCTGCTCTCTTAATGTTCAAAAAACAACTAAATATGGGGGGGGCTTATTAGTCTAAATAAGCTGTTCCGATCAGCATGCATCCCGTTCTTCAGGTGCTTGCATCACAACGGTTTCTCCTCAAATATGAAGGGAATGACCCCAACAGTTTATCCTCAAACTTGGAGAGAATGACCCTGAGGTTTCCACTTCAAGCAAAGACTACTTGGCCATTGGGTCATCCGATTCCTGGATCATCTTGTCTGTTTATCCTTTGAACCAGCCAAACAGTTCAGCCCAACATGTTTTGATTGTTCTTAATATTTCTTACTATCATTTTCCGCCATCTATTTTTTCCTTCTTCAGGGTGCGCGTGCCAAGCGGAACGAGTTCTGCTTCGTTCGCCCTGCCAAGCGGCGCATGGCCACTTGGTCCAACGCTCGCGCCTCAAGGCCGGCCATGGGGGAAATGGTGTTCATCTGAAAGAAAAAGAGTGGGACTTGGTAGGGGGAACAGCGGTTTAAGCTGTCTCCAGTCATTATATTGGGTCCAAACACCAAAAGGATCAACATGAGTGGTTCAACATATGTATATGTATATGTATATGTATATGAAGAACATATATTTATATATATATATATATATATCTTCTACCCCCCAAAGACCTACTTTTTTGGGGGGTTGCAGGGCATATTGTGGAGCAAAAAACATGTTGCAAAACCACCCTAGCATTAGATAATGCTAAAAGGTGATTAACCCGCCATGTTGTGTTTATGTGTTTCAGTCCTTATGCGTGGTCTCCAATGACAATCATTGACAAGGCCAAATTGGAGGACATTTACGAGCAATACAGCTATAAACATTGTGCACCTCTTTGTTCGAAAATTTACTGTCTGTCTGATTCATTTTCATTCTCAGACTTTTCTGGATGAGTTTTTTCTTGACATTCTCTTGATGAAAGGTTCCCTTTTCGTGTTGGGATTTTTGACGTCACTGGACATCATATTCGCATAAACGGCAGT